TATAAATAAATATAAATAAAATATATATATATAGAACGCTTGAAACGTATATTAATATTATAACTTTTTATAAATATATTTTTCCGTCGAAGTCTAGCCTAGTTGGATACATACACGGTTATTAACGACTATTAATTTATCCGATCTGATTATTAATATCGAGGATCTAGCGTTAATTCGAACATTTTAGACGTCATAGTTTTACAATGATAGGCGGAAGTTGTACGGAAATTGTAAGTGACTCGCGCGCGAGAGAGAGAGAGAGAGAGAGAAAGAGAGAGAAAGCGAGAGAAGGAACGAGAGCGTGTGCAGAGAGAACGGAGTTTCGCGGAACGATGTGCAACAGCGTCGAAGAAGAGAGGACGAGGAAGAAGATGGAACACATTAGTACCTAAAGTTATGAAGAAAAAAAAAAATTTAACTACTAGCGTTGAGCATAATTCGCAAGAGGGTCACCCGTTCGCTCCACGGTCGCGTCGCTCGAATCTCTTGTATAATGTTGCTAGACTGGCGGCGTCGGTCTTCCTCCCGTGGAGTCCTCCTCGACGATAGGACAATGTTACCGAGGAAATTGTTCACGGCGCGGGAGGAGATCGATCGGCTCGAGGCGGCCGCGCGGCGACGGGTCGCCCTTTTCGTGCTTTGTAATTAAACGAGAAACAATGAAACCAGAGCGAACTTGTAAAAGCGTCAGGGAATGCGAGCGGACGGAAGCGTGTGAGCGCCAAAGAGAGAAAACGAGCGAACGAGTGAAAGACCGAGTGAGTGCGAGAGAGAGCGTGTTCGTGTGCGTGTGAGAGAGAGAGAGAGAGAGCATACATACGCATCTACACATACTCCACGTATACATAAATCCTTCGTTTCTTTTCTCTTCTGTTCGCGTTTCATTTCTCCAGCAAGCGAGCGTCGGAAAGAGAGAATGAGAGCGCGAGAAAGCGAGGAACGCGGGGAGGGGACGAGGATCCGGATCGGGCTCCTGGAACTCGGCTGCGCGAGAGACCGTCGGCAGCCCCGGGCCCTCGTTCCGCTCTCCAATCGGGCGGTCGAATAATTTACCGTTTCACTGTACCGCTAATTAATACCTACCGATAATTGCCGAGTATTAATCATTGCCGATCAACCGAAGCGACTAAACGATTGCGATTACCGAGTGATTTTTCGAAGCGGCGAAGGAAAAGAGAGAGAGAGAGACGATTACTTATAGTATTTATCAACGATGAATTAACGAGAGAACGCGACACGTATTTTGCTTCTTCCTAACGCAGTGCCGTTTACGCTATTTTTTACTGTAACTCTTAGTGACACTCGGCCGGGGGTGAGCGCGCGACGTTCGGGGGCAGACGTGCGGCCACCCTGCCGACGGATATTCCACGCGGGGAGGACGGCGCGAGTCGGAATTCCCGTGCGGTCGTGCGTCCCCGTAGAAACTCACGGCCCCCGAATGCCCGACTCTGTCCCGATTTCGTCCGTTCGCCAGTTCGCGCCGCTCGAGGCGAGTCACCGAGAAACGGCCGGTCCCCGCGGCACGCGCGTATTCATTGTCAATTACAACCGAATCGCCGGCACACTCATCGATCGTTCCACGACGTGTATCGTAACTCCTTGTCCATTGTACGTTGCTCTCCGACTTTTTAACGAACGCAGAAACGAGCCTACGGATCGCGTCGCCCCGGGGGACGGCCGCGTTTCTCGTTTCCCGTCTCGAGGCCGATCCTCGGACGGGAGCGTCCGGCCAGGGTCGTGGTTCCGTGGAAACGGGTTGACGATCGGCGGGGGCCTTTCTTCTTTTTTTTCACTTAATTAACCGCGCACGATCGCGCGACCCGCGGTAATCTGTTAGCGAGTACACCGTTCGAGGTTGATCGACGGGAGACGGAGGACGGAAGGATGCGTGCGTGAGTGTGCGCGTGCCTGTGTGGAAGCGAGAGCGACGGAGAGAAAGGGAGCGTGAGAGGGAACGACGCGCGGCGCGGGGCGAGAATGACAGAGGGTAGAAGGGGCGAGAAGAGTAAAAAGAAAATTTTTGGCGCGACGTTTTCCAGTGTCGCGGGAAGTTCCATTTGTTCACACGGCTCCCCGGCACCGGGCCCCGGGTTCTTCGGGGCCGCTCGCGGGGGCGCCGGACCGATTTTAAAAGAATATTGTACCGGGGAATGAATAATAATTAATAATAATATTAATGATACTAATAATAACGATATTGCATTAATACCGAAGGTATATTATTGCCGATAATTATATTGTAACGACACGAGAATGATATTATATAATACTCTTTATGAACGCAGGGGATGAATGGTTCGGTGCGACGGAACGCGAGGATCGGAGAGTGATCATTGAGAACGCGAACGAGCGGGGCGGGAGGAGGGTAGTCGGAGGGGTGTGTGCGCGAACGTAGAG